CCCCCCCCCTAAGAAATATAATAAAAAGAGAGCACGTAGATCTAAAGATCTAGAGTTATGTTAAAAATAAATTGTTCGCTGTATTTCAAGGTCCCGGAAAGGTATCATGTAGGAGCCCCTCCCCCTTTTCCCCTCTTAAAAACAAAACAAAAAGACAAACAAAAAAAAACAACAAGACAAAAAAACAAAACAACCCCCCAACAAAATCAATTCCCTGGCTGTCTGTCTGTCTCTGTCCGTCCGTCCGTCCGTCCGTCCGTCCGTCCGTCTGTCTGTCTGTCTGTCTGTCTGTCTGTCTGTCTGTCTGTCAGCTGCATTTTGAGCTCACAAGTCTTGGATTTGTGAGCTGTATCTCGATTTCTTGTTTCTTTTGTCTTTGCTTTCTCTCCTTTTGCTTTTCTTCAGTTGTTGCATTGAGTCGTTTGGAACCTCTATGCACAATTTGTCTCCAAACTGTGTTTAGCTTGGGTGGTTGGCGGGTGCCCGATTGTGGTTTGCTCCTTCTTTCCTATCAAACATATATCGTCGTTATCTCTCCTTCTTTTTTTGCATTTGTTACTCTCTTGTGAGATCTCTGATCTTCGGCACTTAAAATGACCCAGTTGCGTTGCAAGTGCCATAAAGAGTCTTACTAAAACAAAAGCAAAGTGTGTATGACTGTGTATACAACATAAGAAAATGTCATACTGGTTAGACTGTTGAGATTGCGGGTTTAGGTTCGAGCGTCAGTTCGGTCTGATGGTGTGTCCTTGGGAAAGGCACTTTACATGAATCTCTTATTTGTCTCGGTCCTTTCGGAGATGGACGTTAAACTGGGAGGTCCCGCCTATTAAGTAAACTAATATTGTTGATTGGGGCGTTGAACATATACCATTTCACCATATTCACTCTTGTGTGAGACCTCTAATCTCCAGCTTTTACATGTATATGACCTAATTATATTATGTTGCAAGTGCCATAAAACTCTTAAAACAAAATGCGTCGGTCCCCAGGTGTACCCCCGTGGAGACATCAAGAGGTTCCTGGTCCCGGACGACAAGGTGTCGTGGGATGAGCTGTTCCCCGAGTACGCCCCCGTGGAGTATACGTCTCCATCTGTCCTGCAGATGCCCCCATGGGCGGATGTGGACTTCAGGCACACGGTCACCAACGGCGATGAGTAAGTCCATGTTTTTGTCTGGATCTCAATGGAAGAATACTTGTTGTTTCGATTTTTGATCTGTTGAAGAAAACTTGTTAACTTGATCTCTGATCTGTTGAAGAAAGCTTGTTGTCTTAAGGGAGGGGGGGGGGGGGGGGGGAGGCAGAGCTGAGGGCTATCTCGCTTATTGGAGGACCAAATGTTACCAAATTTCACACATATAACAAGCATAGAAAGGAGTCTTAAAATCCACAATTAAATTTAAGAAAATATTTTTGTTTCCATGGATATGGTGGCCATATTGGATTTTGTTGACAAGTCTTACGTAATTAATACCGCACTTATTTTTTATTGAAATAAATTGGGGGGTTTTTGCGTGCATCTTTCCAAACAATAGATCCACAAATCTGTGTGATGAATTTTTCCAAAACGTACTACAAAATTTTTAATGAATATTTTCCTAAGGTAATATTCACGTTTGCAAAAAATCCGGGAAAATCCACTCCAAACACCACCAACAAAAAACTATTCCCTTTATCAAAAACACGTTTTGAGAAAACAAGCGATAAAGAAAAAAAAGCCTTGACTTAATGAGGAAATTGTTGTGACAAACATGCCCGGTATGGGAAGAAATAAGGCTTTAGGGGGTTCTTATGTGATGAAATAGTAGTAAGAAAGTCTGAAGAAGGTAAAAATGCCTACAACTCTGTTGAAGAAAACTTGTTGTCTTGATCTCTGTCGAAGAACACTTGTTGTCTTGATCTCTGATCTGTTGAAGAAAGCTTGTTATCTTGATCTCTGTCAAAGAAAACTTGTGGTTTTAGTTTGTGCTGAAGAAAACTTGGTTTTATCTCTGCTAAAGAAAAGTTATGTTTTTATCTCTGGAATGGAAAACGTTTTTATCTCTGCAATAAAAATCTTTGTTTTTAATCTTTGCTAAAGAAAACTTGTCATTTTTATCTCTGCTGCTTTTCCTTATGTTCACTGGAATAAACGGACATAAAATTAACCTTTGTTTTTCCTTGTGTCCACTGATTTTTACAGGCATTCAGTTAACCTATGCTTTTCCGGCTTTTTGACCCTGAATTAATCTGCATTATTCCTTGTGAAGACTAGAAATAAGAGACACATAATCAACGTATGTTTTTCCTTTGTGGGTGGTTGGCGGGTGCTCTGGTTTGGTTTGTTCCTTCTTTCCTATCAAACATCTATGGTCTTTATCTCCCCTCCTTCTTTTTTATGTTAGTTACTCCCTTGTAACACCTCTAATTTTCGGCACTTATATAATATGACTTATTGTGTTGCAAGTGCCGTAAAAATCTTACTAAAACTAAAACGTTTTTCCCTTGTTGATGCTAAATTTAACAGACTCATAAGTAAACTGTTTTTCATTGTTATTTGATGGGGAATTTATCTTACTTTCCTTGTGTCCACTGATTTTTAAAGTTTTAGTAGAGGTTTTATGGCGCTCGCAACTGCTTTAGGTCAAATGAGCGCCAGAAGATGAGAGGTGTTACAAGAGAGTAACAAACATAAAAAAGAAGAAGGGGAGATGAGGATGATAGTTGTTTGATAGGAAAGAAGAAGCAAACCACACAAGAGCACCCGCCAACCACCCACACCACTGATTTTTACACACACATAGTTTACCAATGTTTTTTTTTCCTTGTCTCCACTGATTTTTACACGCACCTAATTTATCTATGGTTTTTTTCCCCTTGTGTACGTTGGTTTTAACCAGCATTCAATTAACTCATGTATTTCCAGAGTACACCAGTCATGTGAAATGCAAGCTATTTTACACATAATTAACCAATGTTTTTTAGTTGTATATGCTAGCTATGTTTTTCATTGTATATGTTAGCTATTTGACACATAATTAACCTATGTTTTTCATTGTATATGTTAGCTATTTGACACATAATTAACCTACCTTTTTCCCCTCGTGTCTTGCTCGACCAGCACCTCCAGCCCCCACAGCCCCAAATGGAACCAGCTGGACGGCAAAGTGAACAGACGCAGCCACATGGGATCTTATCAGATCTACGAGAAAGTTCCCCGGTCAGTGATGGTCGTTGTGGGTGGTTGACGGGTGCTCTGGTGTGGTTTGGTCCTTCTTTCCTATCAAACGTCTATCGTCCTGATCTGTCCTCCTTTTTTATGTTTGTTACTGTCTTGTAACGCCTCTTATCTTCGATTCTTATATGACCTTATTGTGTTGCAAGTGCCGTAAAACTCTTACTAAAACTAAGTGATGGATGTTTTTGTGTTGAAACTCCTGCAAGCTCTGTCGCAACACTTTTTTAGATTGTTAAAAAAAAAAACAACCCTTAGCGTATGTTGCATTAGCTCAGCTTGTGTGATCTGTCAGTACTTTTCTAGATTGTTCGATTAAAAAAACACAACTGTTTGAGTATGTTGTGCCAGTTCAGCAGGTGTGCAGCATTGCTTGGTTGGTTGCAGTCGTAGTGAAAATCTACAAAACGCCAGCAAATTCTTAATTTTTATATATTGTCAAATTGTTTGTTTATTTTATTAGATTATTTTTTTTACATAGTTTTGTGTTTATTATATTTTCAAATAGATTAACTGGGCAGTCTCTTTGTTTAATGTCAGAGGGTAAAATGCTTATCAGCATGTTCAGTGTCATTGTATGAGAAAATCCAGCATGCCTTCTATTTCTTTTTCGTCTTTTTCTTCTTCTTTTCTTCTCCTCCTCCTCCTCCTCCTATCCTCCTCCTCTTCCACCTCGTCGTTGTTCTCCGTCAAAAGTTATCGACAATGTGCTTTCTCCAGCTTCTGCGGCACCAGTTATAGAACCTTAACATCATGTTAACACGTTGATACAAGGATGTACATAACTTGATGTTTTTATTTATTTATTTATTTTATTTTATTTTATTTTTTGTTTTTTTTTCTTCAGAAACCCGGTTGGTCGGACGGGCATGATTGGCCGAGGAACTTTGGGCAGATGGGGTCCAAACCACGCGGCAGACCCGATCGTGACAAGGTAAGAAGTGAGCTTGATAGTGGATGGGCGAGGGACTCACTTGTCAGGTAAATGTAAACTTTAGGCCCCCCCACCCTTCATTTGTCACTCGTTTTAAATATATCTCACGAAAAAGTCATTTGAGGACCAAAAATGTAGTTTTTGAAAAAATTGAATGTTTTTCCATCCAAATGGTATGAGGGAAGGATGGACCAGAATTTGACTTCAATATATGTATCTTCAAATGTTAGTTTTGAAGCACATGAAGCAATGAAATCTCAAACTCTGAAATGTTGGGGTTTTTCTGTTGTGTGTCTGCGCACTTTTTCTCAAAAAGTCTGTTGTTACTAGAGAACTGCCCGTGATTCTTGGAAAATTTAGAGAACAACGTATTCAGAATTTCTTGATCTACCAGGAACCGGTGCTGTCTCATATTTTTTTTTATCGGGTCGCTTTCTCAGGAACACACACACAACAAGGGTTCTGGTGGGTGGTTGGAGGGCACCAAGGGGAGGTCCTACTTTTCTACTTCCCCTCTGGTGTTTCCGTTTGTCTGTCTTACTTTTTTCCCAGCTCTAAATGACCATTATTGTGTCAGTGTGCTTCTCTTTACTCAAACAAACAAAGAAACAAACAAACAGTTGTTCTGAATGGTTCATTTTTACTGCCTCAGGTGGAAAAGAGATGACAATGGTAAGGTAGTCAAAGACGCAAACGGCAAACAGATTTTGGAGTTCATCGCCGTGCAGAGACGAGACAACGGCGAGTGGGCTTTGCCAGGGGTAAGTCTCTGTCCACTTACTGGGCAGCTTGCACTGTACGCTTCCCGGGTACAAACGTTTTATCATGGGCTTTCCTATCACTTTTTCACCGTTCGTAGAACGGGTCTGTGTCTAGTAATAATAATACTAGTAATGGTACTTGCATTTATATAGCACATATCCGTGCTCTTTAGCATGCTCTATGTGTTTTACAATCAATTCAGTCCTGCAGTGTGAGAGGTTTTCATTTACTGGCCTTTTTGTTGTCTGTTTCAGGGTATGGTTGATGCTGGAGAGGTCGTGAGCATAACCTTGAAGAGAGAGTTTGGCGAGGAGGCGCTCAATTCTCTCGAGGCGAATGATGCAGACAAGAAGGCAATTGAGGCCTCGATAAATGACCTGTTCATGAAGGGTGTTGAGGTGAGAATTGTGCTTTGCTTCTATTTTGTTGTTGAAGCTGAGATCGTGGGTGGCTGGCGGGTTCTCTGGTGTGATCTGTTCCTTCTTTCCTATCAAACATCTATCATTCTTATTTTTCCTCCTCCTTTTTTGTGTTTGTTACTCTCTTGTAGCACCTCTAATCTTCGGTACTTTTATAACCTAATTGTGTTCCAGGTGCCTTAAAACTCTTTCTAAAACAAACGAAACAGATCTTTGGGTGGGTGGTTGGAAAGTGCTACTGGTAGGTCCTACTTCTTTACCTTCCTGTGTTGTTTCTGTCCGAATGTCTTGACTTTTTCCCCATCACTAAATGACCGTTATTGTGTCGATGTGCTTCTAGTTACTCCAACATACATGAGATCTTAGGAAGGGAAAGGGTTACGCTTCATGATTCGACGTAACTATTTGTGAGGCAACGTGGTGAACTTATGCGCTCATCACAATAATCAAAGTGAAGAAACGAGCATTTTTCCGCAGGTTTGTCAATTGTAATCGAATTTTCGTTTTTTAGCTTAACCACTTTCATTCCCATTAAAGAACACATTTCTGTGTGGATTTTACAGTCACAAAAAATGTAAATTTTCAATTTCCACAAACTCTCAAGCTAAGGAAATATCTTTGGCGGCCATTTTCTCATTTATTTTACCCCTGAAACCAGTTGACCACCACCTCCTTCATTCACAAATATCTTGATTTCTATTCAAAATAAATGGATATTTATTTTCATCCAAAGCAAGACAAATGAACAAGCTTTTAGATGATACCAATAACTCTTTAATCCCAAAAAATTGACGAGAGCCTGAATCTACCGCGTCGTGACACAATTGGTCTGTTGTCCCCTGGGCTTGGCTGGATCTGTCTCACTCTTGTAACAATTGTACCTATGAGTACATTATGTGGGGGCTCTCGTGGCCTAGAGGTTAAGGTGTTTGCCTCTCATTCAAAGGTCCCGGATTCGAATCCGGGTAACGACGGAAATTTTTTTTCTCTATATAATTGTCTCCTTTCACCTCCTTTCCTGCTCCCTTACCATATTCTGTCATCTGCTTTCGTCTCCTCTTTCTGCCCCCACCTCACCTCCTTCGCCCTCTCCTCTGGGCTCTTGACTCTTTCTGCAGCCTTTCTACTTCTCCTCCTTGGCTCCTTCTTACAGCTGTCTTTCAGCCATCGGACAAGGGCGAAAAATCTTGGAGGTCCCGTGAGTAAGTTGTGCATGTTCAAGATCCCTTGGCGGTCCAAAATCGATAAGAGGAGGCTTTGGCCGCCACCCGGGCAAAATTCAAACTTTCCTACCGACTGATAATGGTGGGTGTGTCCAGCATGCTCATATGACCTCACGTAGTTGAGAGCGCCGTAAAACACTTACCAAGAAAAAAATGGAATTTCTTTATATATTGCTTTTTTTAGTTTTAGTAAGTGTTTTACGGCACTTGCAACACAATGAGGTCGTATAAGTGCCGTATATTGCTTTATTTTTTTAACATTCGGAATTTGAATTTCTGCAAGATATTTCTTGATTATTTTCAACATTCGGAATTTAAATTTCCACAAGGTATTTCTCGATTTTTTCAACATTCGGAATTTATATTTCTGCAAGATATTTCTTGAGCGCATGCTACCAATACCACAGATTAAGAAACTGAAATGATCAGTTTTTATGTCAAAGTTTTGGATGTTGTATATCTGAGCAGCTGTGAGAAGAAATCTTAAGCAAGGTGAATCTAGATTTCTTTCTTTCTTTCTTTTTTTTTTTTTGACATGTAAAAACAGTTTTTTAACCCTTCCAGCCTCATTCGCGTATATTTTCAGCAGCACTTGTGCCTCCTACTGTCCTAAGAGCGTATATTTTCAGTTTCAGGGGGTACTGAATTTGCACCTTTTTTCTAAATTAGCAAACTTTAATTTTCAGAATATTTGTTCAATTTCCTGTAAACATTGTCATATGTTATCATCTATACCTCATTACAATGATACTACATCACTTTTTAGAATGCATGCCTCTTTTTCTGAACTACTGCTGTATTGGCAGGGACTGGGGTTAGGGAGTGCACAAAAATTGCTGGAGCTGGAAGGTTTAAAATATATTTTTAATTTTTGATTCCTTTGGCTTTTACTTTGATTGATCTCCCCTATATGGATTTGTGCTGGTTGTACTCAGGTGTACCGGGGCTACGTCGACGACCCTCGCAACACAGACAACTCCTGGATGGAGACGGTGGCCATGAACTTCCACGACGCCGAGGGGACCGGAGTCGCAAAGTTCAAATTGCACGCTGGTGGGTGTGAATAACTTTTCAGTTTTGTCGGGTTTTTTTTGTTTTTTATTGTTTTTGAGAGGACGGTGCCATCCACTAGAGGGCTATACCATGCTAACTGACAGGACATTTGGACTATACTTTCTTACAATGACAGCAATATCAATTAATTTATTTCAACTTCAAATGATCAGAACATTTGAAAGATATATATATGTATAATAAGAATCATATTGAATGCTGTCATTTGGGAAAACAAAATACTTAATGCAACTTGGGTGGTTGGTGGGTGCTCTGGTGTGGTTTGCTCCTTCTTTCCTATCAAACATTTGTTGTTATTAACTATCCTGCTTTTTGGGGGTTTGTTACTCTCTTGTAACACCTTTAATCTTTTTGCACTTATACTTATATGATATGATTGTGTTGCAAGTGCCGTAAAACTCTTCATCGTCATCATTGCCTTTCTCACCCTGGGTCAGGGCATAGGCCAGGAACAAACACCGTCCACCTTTCCCTATCCTGGGCTAGCCACTTGATATTATTCCGTGTCTTCCCACTTTTCTGTACATCAATTTCCGTGACTCTTCTCCAGGTTTCCGGTGGTCTTCCCCTTGATCGTAAAACTTTTACTAAATTGAAATTCTCTATATGTGAGGCAGCATGGTGAAATCAGGCACTGGTCAAAATAATAAAAGTCAAGAAAATAGCAATTTTTCGCTGGTTTCGGAATTCTTATCAAAATTTTTGTTTTTTGGCTCAGCATCTTTTATGCCCTTTCAAAAACACATTTCTGTGGGGATTTTACTGAAAAACGTTGATTAAAGGCACAAAAGATGTAAATTTTCATTTGCCACGGACTCTCAGACTGAAGAAATAACTCAACTTTGCCGACCATTTTCTTTCTAATCTTACCTCTGAAACGACCTCCTTCAATCGCCAATATCTTGACTTTTAATGTATCCAAGATAAATGGATATTTGCTTCATCAAAAGGCAGGCTTTAGGGTGATACCAAGAACTTTATATGCCCCAACATTGATGAGTGCCTGATTCCACCGCGTTGTGACACATATAATAATTAACCTGAGCTGTATTGTCATTTCTGTGCCTGGTCTGTTCTGTTGTGCGCAGGTGATGATGCGGTGGGCGTGCAGTGGATGGAATTGTCACATGATCTAAAACTCTACGCCAGTCACATCAACTTCCTGCAGACAACTGCTGAAAAACTTGGAGCGCACTGGTGACTTGCACGACCAGAGTGAAGGAGCGCAGTGTAGACTTGTACGACTGAGTGAAGAAGAACTGAAAAAACCTGACGACCCCCACCCCCCCCCCTTTTCAGAAATAGATGTTGATGCATCATTTCCCCTGCTTTGCTTGGATATCACTGGTTATATTTTGTTGTGTGTCTGACAGGGTTGTTTTTGTTCTTGAGAAAATATGTTTAAAAATGTGCTAAACAGCCCTGAGACCTGAATGATATATTGTTAAGTGTGTCTCTCAAAGGGTTGCTGGTTTTCAGGTGAAAATTCTGTTTAAAAATATGCTTAACAGCTCCAAGACCTGAACAATTGAAGTAACAGCTCTAAGGCATGAAAGGTTGATCATTTTTTGTTTTTTGGGGAAAAATCAGTTTAAAAATGTGTTGAACAGCTCTTAGGTATGAAAGATTGATTGAAGTCATATTGGAACTAGATCTAGGGGTGTCGGAAGTCTAGTGGTTAGGCTACCGGACTCGCATTCGTGAGGTTGCGGGTTCGGGGGTTCGAGCCTCAGGCCCGACGTTGCGTCCTTGGGAAAGTCACTTTACATGAACTTTCCTCACTCTACCCAAATTGAAATGGGTACCCGGCCACAGACAGTGAAAGATGTTGTCAGTATGTTGGTGTTCTAGCGCCTATAAAATTGCAGCTTGCACTGTGTTCTTCCCAGGAAGTTGAGATTGGTTCAGAAAGCTATCAGGTCTACTGGGGTAATAGTATAGATTGTAAAGCGCTCAGAGCTTGCTGTTGAGCAGGAATTTGTGCTATACAAATGTTATCTATTATTATTTTTTATGATCCATTGCCAACTGTTTCCCTTTGCAAGCCTTTTTGAGATATAAAATTTTTCTGTTTAGATTGAGGGGGATTGGCACTGTTCAATGCAATAAGGATAAAATGCTCAGAAACGAAAGGCAGAATTAGAAACTGTAGTGGACAAGGAGTAAAAATGTTGACCTCAAAGGTTCAAGTTTTAAAGTTTTAGAACAAAGAGCCACCGCATAGCTGTGGATGGGTTTAGGCATTGTGGGGTGAGGGTGTGGGTTATTCGGTTACTGAATGAACTTTTAGTGAGAGACTATGGTTGAAAAGTATTTTTTACAGGTATACGGTGCTGTTTGGGAAAGATAAATTCTTTAATGTAAAATCTACCCTTCTCCCTCCGAGACCTAACATTGACAACACACTAAATGGAACATTACAGCAACTGCAGCAAACCTGCACTTATCACTGCATGGCGTTGGACAGAAGGGTGAGAGCCCAGCTGTTGCTGGATCAATAACAAAAACAGTAACATGAAAATCGCAGTTATTTTTTTGGTGTGGAAGTTTTAGTTTTCAATGGGGTTTGAACCAGTGTTGATGTGTCTCGCTGAAGGATACACCCCAAGTGACCACCCATCTTTACAGCATCATGGCTCGACATTCTTGTGCTCCTGCTTTCACTAATCACTACTCTAGACTTACAAAGTTCTATCTGCCCAGAACCTAGTTTTGAGAAATTTGACCCAAAAAATGTTGAATTTCACAATACGTCAAGCTTTTTCGAGTGCTGTTCTTTGAATACCTTGATAACGACTCCGAGTAATCTTACGATTTTGATAGAGCAGATACAGCATTAATTTGGTTTCTGACCTAATGGTCTTTGTTACTGAAAACGGCCAAAAATGTCGGATAGAACTTTGTCATTCTAAGGTAGCATAATGGCTCAACCTTTGCTTGTGTGTATGTTGCATGGCAAAGATAAGTGTTTTTTGCCACATCGGTGTCTACGTCATGTCATCTGTCACCAAAACGTTATGCATCAACATTTTTTTTTCTGGTTTAAGAAAGTCAGAATCATATGTGAGACGTGCTGACAAAATGAGTTACTTCTCGCAGTCCAAGAACGGAGATATAAGCCAACAATCGATATTGGGGTCAGATTTACAGATTTTTTATGAATGCCATTTTGTCCAAGTCTACCGTGTCTTTTATCATTCCTTACTTACAATTTGTACACACTCCTCCTTTAAAGTAGATGTATTAATTTCCTTAGAGCTAAAATCTGACGAGAAACTCATTTTGTCAGCACGCCTCACATATTTTTCTTAACTAAAGTAGGCTGTCATTGTTTATCGATATGATATTTATTATTGATATACTGCTATTTTGATATCTTACACAATGTGAAAAGTGTTTTTTTAATTCATCGTCTTTGCTTCCATGTGCCTGGTAATATTTGGTTTCAAATACTCTTACGGCACCTAGTACTGGACTCCCAGATAATTATTTTATATATATAGTCCACTTGGTGAGTGGCGTTGAGAGGTGTGACATGTCTTTTGCAACGTGGAAATAATTCAGCTTTTTTCTCACGGACAAGGTTTGTTATGGTTAGAGTCGTGTGTGGTTGGTATTATTGTCTCAGGCAACGAAAAAATCGACATATTCAGAAAGAATGGAGGTATGTAGAGTGTGAATTTTCGGTCGCTTTTTTTTTTTTAGTTTGTTTTAGAAAATCTGATGTATGCTGGTGTATAAAGCTTTTCATGTCTGTATTATTGCTTATACTGTCTAGACAGTGTGTTAGGCCACCCAATGCTGGGTTGCCCCTTTTTTTTTTTCGTTTTAAATTAGAAACAGATGCTATAATTTCTGCCTTGTGTTTGTGTGTGTGTGTGTGGATTCTCCTTTTTTAATCTTAAAAGTGAAAGGTTTGTTGCGGGTGTTTGGTAGTGCAAAAGGTTGTTTGTTGCCAAATTTCTCTCTACTCTGAATAAAGATATGCTGTTTTGCTACCTAGTGCTGACTACTGCTGTGTCCCTGAGCCTGTCAGGTGAGTGGGTGGGTGGGTTTGTGTCTGTAAGGCTGTCGGGGAGGGGTTAAGGCCATCTGCGGGGAAAATTTCCCCCATGTTTACACAGTTTGACCATGCAATTTTTTTTTGACGTTTTTGAAACCTACACCCATTTCCCCCAGTTTCAATTGCCCGTTTCAATCAATTATGTTTGAAAGTCATGTAAAAAATGGGTTAAAAAATAGGTTAAAAAATAAGAAATTTGCAATTTTGGGTCTGGTTGAAAAATATTTTCTTCATTTTTTTTTCCAGATATTATCTTTCCGAATCAAATTAGGTCTGCTCCATTATTTTTCGTCTGAAAGGCTTCATTGTTTTACACAATGTGCGTCCAAAGGTGACCTTTACTGAAATACAGCCTTTTTTTAAGATAATAAGAAAATAAAGTTACAACCAGTGTTTTTGTTGGGAATTTCGAGTGTTTTTGTTATTTCTCCACATCACACATCTCCAGAGTCCATAATTATTTTCATAATCGTAATATTACAAATCTGGCATTATTTGTTCTTTACATAGGTGCTGTAGTTTGTACTTACTAAAAATGAAAGCCAACCGGCGAAAAATAAGAGAGAAGATTGCTTTTGAAATTTGATGAAATTATCCTATATGGCGGACGTTTGCTTGGTCACCTGGTTACCATGTGCTTATAATAATAAATAATTACTTGAATTTATTCTTTGATGTCTGACTAATAAAAATATATCATCGTTACTATATTTAATCAAGGGATATGGATTTGAGAAATTTCACCAGCTGATGGCCTGAGATTCGCTCAGGGAAAGACAACCCTTGAAGAAAGAATCATTTTCCATTCATATTCACTTTTCTTCGCAGTTGTATAATCTTTTTTGGAAAGACAACTCTTGAAGATAGAATCATTTTCCGTTCACTTTCATATTTCTTTTTAATCGTACCGTCTTTTTTGGAAAGACAACTCTTGAACTTGAAGATAGAATCATTTTCTCTTCCTATTTGTTTTTGTTTATAATTGTACAATCTCCCTCTTGTTTTTGTTCCTGTAGTAGTAGTAGTAGTTGTTATTGTCGTTGTTTTTGTTTGTTCTCCTCCTCTCTCTCTTCCTCTTCCTTCTCATTCTCCTCCTCCCCTTCCTCCTTCTCGTCTTCTTCCTTCTCATCTTCCTCCTTCTCCTCCTGTATCACACCTATCTGCTGTGCAAAGCAACCCATTGTAACTGATAGCCGTCAATGTATGAGTGGTTAACATATATTTTTCAGCTTTTCACTTTACGATTACATTCATTGTTGCATTTTATAGATATTTATGAATTACTATATAATTATGACAATACTTTTTGTAAAATTAAAATAACCTATACAGCTATCGTTATATTCAACATTTGACTTGATATCATGTCGATAGTTGTGCTGGAAATGTTTTTCACCTTGAGATGGGACGTGGAATTTTGACAGTCTGCTGTCAACAATGGCGTCAACTCCCCTACTGCTGAGGGCGCTGTCTTTTTGCCATAACCTCTCCAGTAAGCAAACTTTCCTCTGCACCCTCTCTATGTCTTCTCTCCTAGTCTTTAGGGCCAGTCTTTTGACTGTGGGCATGGTGTAACTGTGATTAAAGATCACCACCCCTTTCCACACCCCCACACCCCCCTCCCTCTCATGGATTCAAATCCCGGTGGTTAGTGGGTGCTCTGGTGTAGTTGGCTCCTTCTTTCCTATCAAACATCTGTCGTCCTTATCTCTCGTTCTTGTTCTTTTTATTGTGTGTTTGTTTCTCTCTTGTATCACCTCTAATCTTCAGCACTTACATGACCTAATTGTGTTGCAAATGCCGTAAAACTTTTACCAAACCAAAAACATCCCATTCGTGGGGCTTGCTTTGGCAAAGGCTTTTGTTTTGAATTGGCCTTTAAATCTGTGTGGAAATTGGCAAAAAAATAAACTAATTTTGCTCTTCTCTATGTTTAAATATAATAAAACCATTTATCTTCGCCACTTATATGACCTATTTGTGTTGCAGTTGCCGTAAAATTATTACTGAAACCAAAAAACACCAAACAAAATAAAGTTTAACAACGGAGAAAGCTGTAAAAACTCCCCAAGCCTCTTACTCTCAAAGTGTTGTCAGTAGTTGATGACCACTGAATGTTGAGGTTGGGGGGGGGGGGGGGGGGGGGCCGACATGAAGTCACGATAGATCCCATTTCTATGTAACTTCTCTCCGTGGCCTGAGAACTGACAGGTGTTGTGTAGTCTGAAGAGGGCTCCTATTTTGTTTTTTTAGACTGT